AGTTAATGTAAACCAGTAGCAGTCCCAAAAACACACACACGCACACACATATATAAATATATATATATATACCTATATATATATATATATATATATATACGCATTCGAGTTGAATTATAATATACCAGCAATGGGCTCTGTACAAATGCTAGAAATCGGTAGTGAGATGAGCGCAGCACAGTAAACCTTGAACGATCCCAAACACTGAACTCCAGACGACCCCGCTATCTGAAACCCCAAACCCAACGGTCCTGGCACGTAAAATATACACGTACGAACAGAACAGTGGAGTGGAGTGGAGTGGGTTCGTATGTAGTCGGCTTGGGTTGGGTATGTGCCTTAACTTGTATTAATATCCATTAGATTTATGTTTAGCAAATGTAACCACAAAAATTACACTTTAAAGTCGACCAATTCCACTCACGAAATGAGCTGCATTTTTTCGTCGATATCCAATTGCGAATATACATATCTCTGCCTCTGTCGCTCTCTTTGGTTTCAACATCCCTGGGGCATGCCTCTGGGTGCGTGGCATCCACATAAGATATTGCTTCTGTTGTTTTAATAGCAAGGGTTGGCCCCTCATAATTAAGCACCCCAACATCCAGCGCTGTTGAAAGCCCGGCTCGGCACGTACATGGGCCATACATAAAAGGGCCGGGCCATTTTGTCTAGAACTTATGGGGCCTGGAGTTTAACACTTTGGTGCCACATTAAGGCTGCAAATTGTTAAACGTGGCACCTGAAGTCACCGCCGGGCGACCTAAGCAACCTGTGCAACCCGACCCGCCCTATGCCTGCCTCCGTTTCAAAGGAGCAGCGGCTAACATTGCCCCATTACTTAAGTTCATTAGCATCTCGAAGCAGCGTTTGCTGTCCGAAAATTGACTTTAATGTGGCAACGCTGCCGACAGCCTGGGGGCGGCATTTAACAGACAATTGCCACTTGCCACATGACATAAAATTGACTTAAGAAAATTGCATACAACGATGAGCACTAAAGTTATACACTTTCAAATTGACTGCTGCTTGATCTTTCCGGATTGCATGACAGAAACCAAGGAGAAGAAAAGAATGCAACAATCACCAAATCAAACTTGCCACAATCTTCAAAGTGTATAGCCATAGTATGCTTTAGCTAATATTATAGAACTGGTCATAGAACGATTATAAACGATTATTTTGTTGAAATTACTATTGGTAAAAGTGATGCATCTTGTTGCCATTGCTGTCATTTGTTTTTACAACCTTCGTTCCTAATATTTAATCATTATTAAAGTTTGGTAAGGGAGTTTAAAAAGTGCATATAATTGCCACAAGAAGACATATCTTATAATGTGTGTGTAGTTTGGATGGGGTCCTGAAATACTACAGACGAAGCATCGTTCATATCACACTTCTTTGATAATTCCACTTATCCACTTATGTAATCTTCTGATACCAAAGTTAGAAGCGTTATTTTATTTTACATTATGTCTGCCTGTCTAGTTGTATGTGTCTAATAGGCCTATTTCCTTCCGATGATATCAAAGCAAGAAACTTGAATTGTTGAACATATACCCCCTGAAGAGGAGCTGTCAAACCGATAAGACCTCGATAAATATAGAGAGGAAGCAAATAAATATACCACTGCATTAAGCAGAACCCCCTTTAGAAAGCCCTTTGGATTGGACATTACCAGGGGTGTGGAAATAGAAGTGGATGCCAGCTGTCCAGTTTCTTTATCGATGGCTTGCAATATTGTTGACATTATGTGTCTGTGGTCGTCGCCCGTTGGACTACGGCAATGCATATTTTTTGGTTGCCCCAAACGTGCAAATTGTTGCACTTGCATTCAATTGTCCGAGCTGTGGCATTCAATAAAAAGCCGCTCAGCATAAATGATGGAAAATAATTATATAAATATATATATACGACATAGAGAGGGAGTAAGGAAAGGAGGCTAAGTGAGACACCGCATCATTTGCCCAATAGTATCAAAGTCTCGATTCTCATAGAAATGATTCATGATATCGCATTATTTCCGTATCATTTGTAATTTCCAGTTTCCTGCTTTTTTCATCAGCTATTCACACTCACACACACAAACTTAACGCAGAGCGGCAGGGCAATGGGGGTGGGGAGAGGGAAGAGGGAGGAGAGAGAGTGAGGAAGCTGGTGCAATTACTATCTATCTGGTATTTTATAACTTTTGTGCGCGTCGTCTCGTTGGCTTTCCGCTTGCTGCGCACCTCTCGCTGATTACAGCGCCAAAGTCAGAGTCACAGTCACAGTCACAGTCATAGCTGGAGCCCCAACCACACTTCTCTGCTCCTTCATCATTGCCATCATCGCCATCATCAGCATCATCATCATCATCATCATCATCTAGTTTTCGTTGCCATCATCGTTCCCATTGTTTGTTCGGCTCTGTAGATATCTGTGTTTCAATGTATCTGTTACTGTGTGCGCCATTTTTGTTGTAGTTTTTGATGAACATTTAATTGAATTCTCTTACAACGTCGCGCTTTGTCTTCTACTACAAAGTAAATGTGTGTGTGTGTGTGTGTGTGGGGTGTGTGGTGTATCTATGTCCGTGCAGTACAGTATCTGCTGGGTTGGTATTGGCCAAAGTTATGTGACTTTCGGGTCAGGGCATCTAATTAAAATGACAATTGAAATATGAACAAACTGCTTTAACCAGGAGCTAAAGTCCAAAACTATCTTTAAGCTACAGTTACAGTTGCTGTTCCTGATGCGATAACATAATTTAATTTGGCCAGAGGGAGTTTCGTATTTCACTAGTGCAACTGAGTTGGTATCGAATTTTCGATAAACAGTCAGCGATTAATTTCTTAGAAAATGTGTATTTAAGCCACAATAAAATAAATTTATAGCCACCTAATCAACATTAAATTACCAAATAGTTATGTACATGCTTAAGATTTACAAAAAGAAACGAAAATATATAAATATATATATATATATATAAATAAATTTACAACAAATGCAATTTTTTATTATTTTTCGCGTCCTTCTCTTCTAAAATATGTATAGACTACTTACAATAGTTCATATTTACTACTTACTAGGCAACTCTATAAATAAAGACTTCAGACTTTTGGGCGTAATTCCCATTACCATATCCCTGTTGTGTAATATTGTAAGTATTTCAACTAAAATGTTTGAAAAGATACCTATAAGAAATCAATTCGAAACTTAATTTTAAAAAATATATATATATACTATTTAATATTCGTTCAATTTTCTTTACCAATAATTGAGAATTTTATGAAATAGCATTCTATTCTATATTCTATTCTATATATTCACAATAATTCAATATACAATGAATACATAATTGTGTACTTTTTTGAACTCGATTGGCACCGCCTCATTGCGCTTAAGCGAACCTCTTCATTAAAGTAAATGCTCAGAAAAGCTAGTGAACTTAAATTAAAGAACTTGGTACAGTTCAAACAGCTCCACTACCAAGTATACAAGCATCCAAGTTAACAGCTGCCAGTTGCCACCCCCCCTCAATCCGCCAGCTTCAATTTCAAGCCCTTCTTCACATCTTGCAGACGCCACTTAAGTCTCTGTTGCTGTCTCTGTCTCAATGTCTGTCTCTGTCTCTGTCGACAGCATGCGATATCAAATGGTGAATAGATAAAAACAACATGACTTAATGAGTGGTATTTATTTTTATGCTAATTACTTACGAATAAGCAGTACTTGGTGCTGTTCTTGTTCTTGTTCTTGTTCTTGTTCTTGTTCTTTCCCCTCTGGCTGCTGTTGTTGTTGGTTGCAGATGCAATGCCGGCAGTTACATAGCTCGCCCTAATGAGCTGCAGGCATTTAAGGGATGGGGGTTAGCAGGGTTGGCATGGAATCGAATGGAGTAGAGTAAACGAGTTAATAGCAAGCGATGGGCGATGGGCGATGGGTGAGCAATAATTGTTGAATATATTTGTGCAGGAGAAGATGAGGGCAAAAAGGGAAAGAACAGCTGACGCACCAAGACAATGGCCATGGCAGAGATGCGACGTCGACGTCGACGTTTTTGTAAAGTAAATGCCATTATACAATAAGCAAGTCGCGTTGTAAATATTCTTGAAATGTACAAAAGCACTCGCGCTGAAAGCCGTAAAGTATGCAATATGACAGCGCATAAAGGATACGACTTCGAGGAGCAACTGGTATCGGAGCCGCAGTTGGAGCCGGAGCAGTTGCAACTTGGTCCAAGCCCAAGTTGAGTGGCGTCGTTGGTGTGAGAATAATAATAAAAATAAAAACAACTTAATTACCATGCTGACTCACACACAACTCCTGCTATTAAGAGAGATATGTAGAGCAACAGCGAGCGTTCCAGTCAACATCAAAGATAAACGACCAGCCCATAGCTGAGATTACTTCAGCAGCAGCACAATTGCATACCCACGTTTGCATACATACATACATACATACATACATACGTATATACTCAAAGTATCAGCTACTCGCTGACAATACTTGGCCTTTAAATTAGTTTTATGACAACAAGCCGGAAAGCAGCCTTCTCATTTTAACTGTTCCTTTTTGCTTCTTCTCTGTTGGCTGCTGAGTAGAAAGGTTCCCTTGTTGGTCCAAAATTAATACGAGGCAATAACAAACCAAATAACTTTATATATTAAATGCATTTTCATCTGCAGGCCATTACTACTTATTAAGTATCAAAAAAAAGTATATCAAAATGCACAGATCTTAAATAAGCAAGAATAAAATCCACACAGTTCGCTGGAATTGTCACATTTTACGGTTTGCAGCTTTAAAGTCAATGTGAAAGCTGTAATTAGCCAGCTCCACATTCTAAGTTATTTAGATTGAATAGTTTCACAAAGCAATTCAATTGTTATTCACTCAAAATGTTTAGTCTATTTGTACTAAAATTGCGTACGAATATTTAATGATATTTTGACTTATTTGTAAAAAAAAAAGTGTCCAACATTTGCTCAAAGAACACATCTAAATGAAGCAACCGTCGGAGCTGAGTGTCACAGCTGATTTTTGCGTTTGCGACCCGGACGCACCGCATAGACGCTCTGTGGCAGTGGTCCGTTCGGGAGCAGCTTGCCAGATCGGGTGGCGGCCAGCAGTCGTCGCTCGTGCACCTTGCGGTGCTTGGTCAGGTGGTCAGATCGGGCGAAGCACTTGGCGCAATAGTCGCACTTGTACGGCTTGACGCCCGAATGGGAGCGTCGGTGCCGGGCGAGCTCGTCGGAGCGGGAGAAACGCCAGCTGCACTCCGGCCAGCTGCAGGCATACGGCTTCTCGCCCAAATGACGGCGCATGTGCGCCTTGAGGTGGGCGGGCTTGGCGTACAGCTTTTCGCAGTTGCCAAATGTGCACAGATAGCCCTTCTCCCCAGCGGCATTTTCACTGAGCTGCAGTGGTGCCACCATCGTTAATGTTGTCACCAACGGCGTTGCCGTTGCCGTCATCGCTACGGGTGAGGTAGACGGAACCAGGCGCAGATTATTGTTGCTCTCCTGCAGGAAATCATCGCACATGTCCGTGCAGAGCGGTGTGCGCTCTGGCAGTATGGTAGTGAGCTCAGGTATTTCCACAAAGTGATCCAGCAGCCGCTGCTCCCAATCAGTGAGATCTGGCGGTGATGACGAATCACCCAAAATGGACACAATCGCCAGCTCTGGGTCGTCAAAATCGAAGGGCAGCTCGTGTTCCACGCTGCTATTACTGCTTCTAAAGTTGCTATCGTTATTGCTGTTACTGTAGCTATCGCTGTTATTGTTATTGCTGTTGGTTTGAATGTTGTTAATGGTATAGTTGTTGTTGCTGTCGAGTGTTGTGATGCCATAATAATCCATGCTATTTGTCTCGTAGCCATTGCCAAAGTTAACATCCGCATAGCAAAAATCCAAGGACTGCTGCTCCTGCATCAGATACTGCTGGCCAAAGTCTTGAGTCGCTGCCGACTCCTCTAGATCGTTGTAGAGCTGCTGAAAACCGCCCGTCGCAAAGAACTCCATGTCAGCAAATGAGCTGATCCCAGCGCCTGTCCAAATATTTATGTCAGTCGATTTGTCGACGAGCTGTCCAAACTGGGCTCCAGGCACACTCGAGTGCAAACTTGGACTGATACTCAATATGCGTATAGATACATTTGTGGATACATACGTGTCCGTCCATATGTATATATATATGCATATGTATTCTACGGAACAACAGCAAGCAACAACACTAAGATCCCTGTGGGAATAATTAGGCATTCATTTGATGAAATCGATCGTAGTGGACACTTCTGAAGCCGTTTCGATCTTCGCTTATCTAATTCAATGCCGGCGTCATTAACAGCAACAACAACAGCACCAATAAGAACAACAACGGCGACAGTAGACAGCCATATGTTGCCGCCGTTGCGATCAGTCGTAGCACATGTGCCACACACACACACACACACACACACACACACACGCACACACATGCACAGAGAGAAAAGATGAGATGCGAGCTGCTCTGTTAGTTGTGCCAAGCGGTGTCAGGCGGGTTTTTATTTGGTGATCGTCGCGCCGATGGACGATGGACAACTGATGGTTGTTGATCGACGATTGGTGGCACTGCGTCACTGGTCAGCTGCACCTGCTTACGCCGGATCTGGCAAATACCATATCTCTGTCTCTCTCCATCTCTCTCACACTCTTTCATCGTCTGCCCTACACTGTCTGCACGGTTCTCCGATCAGCATTATCAATCCAATTCTGAACATTTTGAGCTAAAGCCCCAAGTGGTCGGTTCTTGTGAATTTCAATTTATTTGGATTTTTGTTTTGGTCACAGCTATCAGTAACAGCAATTAGTTAAAATTCAACACACACACGCACACACACACACACACACAGTCACACATATGCAATCAACAACTCAGAGCATATTCTGCGAGTGCGTGGATTAAGGGAGATGAAATGAACAGAGGGGAATCTATTTTGTTCAATTTAATATATGTATGTATGTATGTATGATATGATATTTGGGCTGACAACTGAATATAATGTTGTCAATACTTATAGTTTCTATGTAAATAATTTATCGAACGATATTTGTAAATGCTGCAATTGTTGTACTGATAATAACAATATAATACCTTGAAAGCCGCTGACCTAATATGAATACAATGATTTGCTATTCAATTTACGAGTATTTGTGTAAGTTTTTCAAGGAACACATTAGTCTCATCTAAAACTGCTTAAACTATTTATATTTTAAAGTATTCAAACAGAGCTTAAACTTTGAAGCACTGGTTAAAAATTGTGCATTTAGTTTATTCCCCAATTCGATCCCATATGATGTTCCTAACAAAGTTTGCCACACAGACCGTGTTTAGTTACGTTTGTAATCGTTTTTATCTAAGTGAGCGCATTTATCTACAGCCTAACTGAATAACAGCTCTAACATACATATATAGAGCTCGTTTGCTTATGAGTTTAAACCGGCGAACAAGGGAGCAATCAGGCTGCCCATCGTGATTAGCTGGCTGTCCCACACTCGCAACGACACAATACGCAATTCTGCTGGGCTCGACTCTACTCGACTCGTTTCGACTCGTTTCGACCCCCAAATAGGTGCCACGCCCACAAATTGTGTTGCTGCCGACATGACTACAAATCGCTGGCAGCTCCCGTAAAATTAACATAAATTTTGTGCGTCAAATGTTGAACTTTATTTTTGCCTGTTATGTAATAATCAGCGGCTGTAAATCCTTGCAGCAGCCACAACCGACTCACAGTTGCCGCAACAAATTCCCAAACCATCCCCCCCACACACACACACACACACACACACTCGCTGGGAACACCTCTTTGCTACCGCCCTCAGCCACAGCACAGGCATTTGGCAGGCAGCGCGCTAAGCGCTAATTGAAATTGTAAAAATCAAAGGAAACCGTCGCGTTAAAGAAGACTTAACGGATAACAACGGCTGACAGGCACTTGGCCGTACAGTTTGCAATTACGAGTGTGTACACTTTAATATTAATTATATTCATTGGATTCGCTTCGGCTCGCATTTCAGTCCCTTCCACTTTGTTCTTGTCTAGGGACAAAAATAGATACATATACCAATGCAAATATTGATAGTGATAAAGATACAAACAGTGATACAAACACAGTTACTACACACATACATGATCATTGCTTAGTGATAGACTTCGATATAAATAGTAAATTGTGATCTCATTCAGTTCGATTGATATGCTAATTTGCCACTTTAAAATACGTTTAAAGATATATAATGAAAACTAGTATATGGAAATGAACAGAAAATATGTTACGTCTGCTTCTGTATTTAGTACAAAAATCTATTTTACCAAACACTTCTTGAATGCCAGCACCATTCTAGAAATGTAGAAATGTTTCCGCACTCGCAGTTTGTGTTTAGATTTTAATTTGTTTCTCTTGTTGTCTGTATCTCATTTTGTTTAGTGCAATCAAATTTTAGTTCGCTTTTTCTATGTATGTGCTTATAAACCGACAATTACTTATACATGGTTTTATCTTAAGCTATCTGACACTGAACACTTTGTATTTATGTATATCTATTGCTGTGTATATTCAACAGCAGAGTATCCGCCTAGAAGATGCTCTGTATTTAGCTCTAGCCAACGCATGGAAAAGATACATATGTGTGTCTTTATGTATTTCCGATTTGATACCAGCGATTCAAACCAGGTTTACAATTGTTATTTCCATTTTAAGTTTGACTGTTTTAAACCCCGTCGCCTTTTGCAACAGTTGCCAAGCAAGCATTTTCTGTAAACACATGCGAATATATTTTGCAATATGAGTGAGTTTTTATCGGAGCTCTTTAAAGGTGTACGTGGTATTTGCATATTGTTGTTTTGTTACAGCCTGATACAATACATACCCAAATATATTATCCATTGCGTAGAGATAGTTACAAAGCTAATAATGTATTCAGCAGAGATATATGTGTATGGACTATAAATTTGAATTTCCACATAAAGGTGTAAATTCTATATATGGTACACTCAAAAAAGAAATTATCCGGAAATTTAGAAAATCGCCTTGAAATGAAAATCACATAGAAAACTAGAAATTTGTTCTTGATTTTCGAAATAATTCTTAAGCAAACGAAAACAAATTTTTTACAACTAGAACAATATTGCAACCGAAATTGTTCGAAATAATCATTTTTGAAATCCCCGAGATATTAATAGAAGTTTGCTCTCATGACTGCTATGTACAGCTTAGATAAACTTTGGTTCTTCGAAGGACACAATTTTTCGATGAGTTGCCATTAGCACCAAAAGAGGGAGACTTTTTTTCTGAGTGTATGTATATGGTTTTATTAAGTGCTTGTCGGAGAGATTCAGTTTATGTAGAAGCAAAGATACTGCAACTCTAGATACTGTTACTTACCTATGTAATCCGTCGAAGACGTATATATATAGATACAAATACAAATAAGCTGTAAAACCAGATGCGTTTACACAAACACCATGTTGATTTCGATATTATTATTATTATTATTATTATTATTGCAGCTTCGTACATACATACATATGAATTGAATGTACACAGGTACACAGTTATAGATACTGTTATTTAGTTAGTACTCGATGGTTGCAACAAATATATTTACAATTGTTTTGTGCAACACGCAGAAATATGCTTACTCGTGTTTGTTATATGCATATATATGTATGTGTATGTATTTGCAGCAATAGATACTGTCATTTAATAAGTATTTGCCACACGTGTCGTCTGCATTTCGATGCTGACATCGCTTGACATGTCAACATTGCAACGGCAACAGGGCATCAATCTAAATTATTTGGCACCCACAGCAACATCTTCAAACAAGTAAGAACACTGTAGTCGAGTGAGATTGACTTCGATATATCCTGAACTCAGCTCTTAAATATATTCTAGTTTTATTGCCTCATTGAAATAAGATTAATATGAGAATATATTTACACATACTGTGACTTTGGTTGATCAAAAATATGTTAATGCTTATTATATAATAATGGGAAGTCTTTGCCTCTACTGTGGCTTTCATTGCTATCGGAAATCGATATATATCGATATTTGCGCAACAGAGACAGTTATCGATGAAATAAAAGAAACTTGATCGATTCGACTGTTGATCCTGATCAAGAATATTAATACTTCAAGACTGGTATACCCAGAAACAAGAACAAGGTTGACAACAATGCGAAATAAGTGACGAACTTTGGCATTTGGTGGTTGATTTGAGTGTTCTGATAACATAAATTAGTATGCTGCTCGACTGTTTGGCTGCTGTCGTTGTGCAAATATTGAAGCATTTGAATCTGTGGCCAGCATCTGCAAATGCATCTGTAAACTTGAATGTTTGTCTCCATCTGCATCTGCATCTGCATATGCATCTGTAGCTGTAGCTGTGTATATAGTTGTAGCTGTATCTGTATTCTGTATCTGTAACCGCATTTGTATCAGCATGCACACACCGAACACAGTGACATTGCACTGTGATTGTGTGCACCACAAGTGTCATAACGGGAATTATGCATAAAATTTCACTGTAAATTGCAGAAGGCAAAATGTTTTCTTGCAAGCTTGCAAGCAAAGGCGACCACAACATTTAAATGCATGCCAGCAACCAGCAGTCCAAAGTCCAAGGGATTTCAGAGATGCCAAGTCCCAGGCAGTGCCCCAAAATCAAATGAACCTAAGGCATTTGACAGGTGCAGCTCTGAGTTGCCATCAGTGTTGGGCTCAAAGCAAAAACCCCAACGAACTAGCAGTACTACATTGAATTAAGCCGGAATGCGACTTCAACAGAAATCTTAAGGCTCACAAAAACAGACAAAACAAAAAAAACAAACAACAACAAAAACAAAAAAAAAGGCCGAAAGAATGTAAAGCTGTGTTTCTATTTATTATTTTGATTATCGCATTGGCCCGCTGAAACTCATTCGGATCAGTTGCCTAGCAGTTGGCCTTATCAATGGCAGCTGAGCTGCTTGCTTTCATTTAGATTAGGCATGTTTTCTGTTGCTTT